AGTTGAGAAACGTACACACACACACGCGGATGAGTTGAGAAACGTACACACACACACGTGGATGAGTTAAGAAACGTACACACACACACGTGGATGAGTTAAGAAACGTACACACACACACACTCGTGGATGAGCTGAGAAACGTACACACACACACACGCGGATGAGTTGAGAAACGTATACACACACACGCGTGTGGATGAGTTGAGAAACGTACACACACACACGTGGATGAGTTGAGAAACGTACACACACACACGCGTGTGGATGAGTTGAGAAACGTACACACACACACGTGGATGAGTTGAGAAACGTACACACACACGCGGATGAGTTGAGAAACGTACACACACACACGTGGATGAGTTGAGAAACGTACACACACACACGCGGATGAGTTAAGAAACGTACACACACACACGCGGATGAGTTAAGAAACGTACACACACACGCGGATGAGTTAAGAAACGTACACACACACACACGGATGAGTTAAGAAACGTACACACACACACACACAAGGATGAGTTAAGAAACGTACACACACACACACACACGGATGAGTTAAGAAACGTACACACACACGTGGATGAGTTAAGAAACGTACACACACACACACTCGTGGATGAGCTGAGAAACGTACACACACACACACGCGGATGAGTTAAGAAACGTACACACACACACGCGGATGAGTTAAGAAACGTACACACACACGCGGATGAGTTAAGAAACGTACACACACACACACACACGGATGAGTTAAGAACGTACACACACACACACACACGGATGGAGTTAAGAAACGTACACACACACACACACGGATGAGTTAAGAAAACGTACACACACACGTGGATGAGTTAAGAAACGTACACACACACACACTCGTGGATGAGCTGAGAAACGTACACACACACACACGCGGATGAGTTGAGAAACGTACACACCCCAACAGCGGATGAGTTGAGAACGTACACACACCACGTGGATGAGTTAAGAAACGTACACACACACACACGTGGATGAGTTAAGAAACGTACACACACACACACTCGTGGATGAGCTGAGAAACCGATTACACACTTAACACACACACGCGGATGAGTTGAGAAACGTAACACACACACGCGTGTGGATGAGTTTGAGAAACGTACCACACAGCCACGTGGATGAGTTGAGAAACGCTACACACACACGCGGAAGAGTTGAGAACGTACACACACACACGTGGATGAGTTGAGAAACGTACCACACACACGCGGATGAGTTAAGAACGTACACACACACACGCGGATGAGTTAAGAAACGTACACACACACGCGGATGAGTTAAGAAACGTACACACACACACACACACGGATGAGTTAAGAAACGCACACACACACACACACACAGGATGAGTTAAGAAACGTAACACACACACACACACACGGATGAGTTAAGAACGTACACACACAGCGTGGATGAGTTAAGAAACGTACACACACACACACACGCGGATGAGTTGAGAAACGTACACACACACACACACACGGATGAGTTAAGAAACTTACACACACACGTGGATGAGTTAAGAAACGTACACACACACACACACGCGGATGAGTTGAGAAACGTACACACACACACACGTGGATGAGTTGAGAAACGGTCACACACACACGCGGGTGAGTTAAGAAACGTACACACACACACACGTGGATGAGTTAAGAAACGTACACACACACACACACGCGGATGAGTTGAGAAACGTACACACACACACACGCGGATGAGTTAAGAAACGTACACACACACACACGTGGATGAGTTAAGAAACGTACACACACACACACGTGGATGAGTTAAGAAACGTACACACACACACGTGAATGAGTTAAGAAACGTACACACACACACACGTGGATGAGTTAAGAAACGTACACACACACACTCGTGGATGAGCTGAGAAACGTACACACACACACACGCGGATGAGTTGAGAAACGTACACACACACACGCGGATGAGTTGAGAAACGTACACACACACACGTGGATGAGTTAAGAAACGTACACACACACACACGTGGATGAGTTAAGAAACGTACACACACACACACTCGTGGATGAGCTGAGAAACGTACACACACACACACACGCGGATGAGTTGAGAAACGTATACACACACACGCGTGTGGATGAGTTGAGAAACGTACACACACACACGTGGATGAGTTGAGAAACGTACACACACACGCGGAAGAGTTGAGAAACGTACACACACACACGTGGATGAGTTGAGAAACGTACACACACACACGCGGATGAGTTAAGAAACGTACACACACACACGCGGATGAGTTAAGAAACGTACACACACACGCGGATGAGTTAAGAAACGTACACACACACACACACACGGATGAGTTAAGAAACGTACACACACACACACACACAAGGATGAGTTAAGAAACGTACACACACACACACACACGGATGAGTTAAGAAACGTACACACACACGTGGATGAGTTAAGAAACGTACACACACACACACACGCGGATGAGTTGAGAAACGTACACACACACACACACACGGATGAGTTAAGAAACGTACACACACACGTGGATGAGTTAAGAAACGTACACACACACACACACGCGGATGAGTTGAGAAACGTACACACACACACACGTGGATGAGTTGAGAAACGGTCACACACACACGCGGATGAGTTAAGAAACGTACACACACACACACGTGGATGAGTTAAGAAACGTACACACACACACACACGCGGATGAGTTGAGAAACGTACACACACACACACGCGGATGAGTTAAGAAACGTACACACACACACACGTGGATGAGTTAAGAAACGTACACACACACACACGTGGATGAGTTAAGAAACGTACACACACACACGTGAATGAGTTAAGAAACGTACACACACACACACGTGGATGAGTTAAGAAACGTACACACACACACACGTGGATGAGTTAAGAAACGTACACACACACACACACGTGGATGAGTTGAGAAACGTACACACACACACGTGTGGATGAGTTGAGAAACGTACACACACACACGTGGATGAGTTAAGAAACGTACACACACACACACGTGGATGAGTTAAGAAACGTACACACACACACACTCGTGGATGAGCTGAGAAACGTACACACACACACACACACGCGGATGAGTTGAGAAACGTATACACACACACGCGTGTGGATGAGTTGAGAAACGTACACACACACACGTGGATGAGTTGAGAAACGTACACACACACGCGGATGAGTTGAGAAACGTACACACACACACGTGGATGAGTTGAGAAACGTACACACACACACGCGGATGAGTTAAGAAACGTACACACACACACGCGGATGAGTTAAGAAACGTACACACACACGCGGATGAGTTAAGAAACGTACACACACACACACACACGGATGAGTTAAGAAACGTACACACACACACACACAAGGATGAGTTAAGAAACGTACACACACACACACACACGGATGAGTTAAGAAACGTACACACACACGTGGATGAGTTAAGAAACGTACACACACACACACACGCGGATGAGTTGAGAAACGTACACACACACACACACACGGATGAGTTAAGAAACGTACACACACACGTGGATGAGTTAAGAAACGTACACACACACACACACGCGGATGAGTTGAGAAACGTACACACACACACACGTGGATGAGTTGAGAAACGGTCACACACACACACGTGGATGAGTTAAGAAACGTACACACACACACGTGAATGAGTTAAGAAACGTACACACACACACACGTGGATGAGTTAAGAAACGTACACACACACACACGTGGATGAGTTAAGAAACGTACACACACACACACACGTGGATGAGTTGAGAAACGTACACACACACACGTGGATGAGTTAAGAAACGTACACACACACACACGTGGATGAGTTGAGAAACGGTCACACACACACGCGGATGAGTTAAGAAACGTACACACACACACACGTGGATGAGTTAAGAAACGTACACACACACACGTGAATGAGTTAAGAAACGTACACACACACACGTGGATGAGTTAAGAAACGTACACACACACGTGGATGAGTTAAGAAACGTACACACACACACACTCGTGGATGAGCTGAGAAACGTACACACACACACACACGCGGATGAGTTAAGAAACGTACACACACACACACGTGGATGAGTTGAGAAACGTACACACACACACACGTGGATGAGTTAAGAAACGTACACACACACACACGTGGATGAGTTAAGAAACGTACACACACACACGTGGATGAGTTGAGAAACGTACACACACACACGTGGATGAGTTGAGAAACGTACACACACACACGTGGATGAGTTGAGAAACGTACACACACACACGTGGATGAGTTGAGAAACGTACACACACACACGTGGATGAGTTGAGAAACGTACACACACACACGTGGATGAGTTGAGAAACGTACACACACACACACGTGGATGAGTTAAGAAACGTACACACACACACACACGTGGATGAGTTGAGAAACGTACACACACACACGTGGATGAGTTAAGAAACGTACACACACACACACACGTGGATGAGTTAAGAAACGTACACACACACACACGTGGATGGACGGACAAGCAGCGCAAACGAACGCTTTCCCGAAGCATCCGGTGAACGAGCCGACATTCGAACGAACGAACGCGGCGCACGCACGCACGCACGCACGCAGGCACACACACGCAGGCACACACACACACACACGCACACACACGCACGCAGGCACGCACGCACGCACACACACACACACGCACGCACACACACACACACACGCACGCAGGCACGCGCAAGCGGACGCGGGCGAAGAAGAAAGGGCGGCTCGCGTGCAAAGAGCAGACGCGTCCGTCCCGCAGCGCGGGTGACAAAGCGAGAGCGGCGTGATGGAGTCTAGGCAGTGGAGACACCTTTTTGAAGACGGCCGGGTTGGGCAGAGGGGGCTTGAACTCCGGCACGTCGTCCCGCGCCGTGATGGACAACTGTGGCGGGGCGGGGCGGGGGGGGGGGGGGGGGGAGGTCGACACAAAATGGCACGGTGAAACATAAATAAACCCCGGTGGTGGTGGACGGCTGCGGAACCGCCGGCGCCATCGCCGCCGCTCGTCCGCCCGCCCGTCCGCCCGCCCGCCCGCCCCGCTCGCTCAGGAGTGGTGGGGCGATTCGGCGCCCACGGTCAGCGGCACCGGCGACGGTTGCCTGAAGCGGTCATGGGGCCTCTCCCCTAGTTCGACTCGGCCTCAAACAAGCGCGAGGCGGCGTGCGAGACATCGCCGCTGGGAGAGACAAAGGCGGCTTGTTCGACACTCGGGCTTTCGCGACAACCCCCCCTCCCCCCCCCCCACCTTGTACGTGGTGTTGCTGCTGCAGGGCTCCTCCACCTGCACCACGGCGTAGGCATGCAGGAAGTTGGAGGCCACCATGTCAGGCACGAAGGGCGTGTTCTCCTCCTGGAACACCACCGCCACGATGTCGTTGCCGATGTGGCGCTTGCGCTGCAGCTGCGGCACGGGGGGGGGGGGGCGGGGGGGGAGACGATTACGACGACGACGATGATGATGACGGCGATCACAATTACCATGATGATTATAATGACGATGATTATGACAATGATCATGCATGATAATTACGATGACGATGATGTTAACAATGGCAATGCTAATGACGACGATGATAACGATGACGACGATGATGACGACAATGATAACGATGACGTACGACGACGGTGATGATGATGACGGCGATGATGACGACGATGATGAGGGCCACCTGCTGCGCGTCGCCCTCGGTGTAGGGCAGCTTGGTGGAGACGTGCAGCATGATCTCGCGGCCATGGAACGTCGTGAACACCGACTCACAGCCCGTCTGGCCGTGCGTCACATCCAGACCACCGCGGAACCTACACAGGGCATGCACACACACGCACACACACACACACGCAGACACACACACGCACACACGCGCACACACACGCACACACACGCACACACACACACGCACACACGTGCACACACACGCAGACACACACACGCACACACACACACGCACACACACACACGCACACACACGGAGACACACGCACACACACACACACACGCACACACGCGCACACACACGCACACACACACGCACGCACACACACGCAGACACACACACGCACACACACACGCAGACACACGCACACACGCACGCGCACGCACGCACACACACACGCACGCACACACACGCACACACACACACGCACACACGCCTCACTCATCTGCCCATTCACTCACCCACCCACCCATTCACTCACCCACTCACTCACTCACCCACTCACTCACTCACCCACTCACCCATCCACTCACTCATCCGCCCACTCACTCACCCACTCAATCACTCACCCACTCACTCATGCACCCATTCACCCACCCACTCACTCACCCACTCACTCGTGGTGAGGAGCATGGCAGTGAGGAGTGTCAGGGTGGTGTGGTGAGCGTGGTGGTGAGGAGTGTCGGGGTGGTGGTGAGTGTAGTGGTGGTGAGCGTGGTGGCGGTGGTGGTGAGCGTGGTGGTGGTGGTGAGCGTGGTGGTGGTGAGCGTGGTGGTGGTGGTTGTGGTGGTGGTGAGCGTGGTGGTGGTGGTGGTGAGCGTGGTGGTGGTGGTGGTGAGCGTGGTGGTGAGGAGTGTCAGGGTGGTGGTGGTGAGCGTGGTGGTGGTGAGCGTGGTGGTGGTGAGCGTGGTGGTGGTGAGCGTGGTGGTGGTGGTGAGCGTGGTAGTGGTGGTGGTGGTGAGCGTGGTGGTGGTGAGCGTGGTGGTGGTGGTGAGCATGGTGGTGGTGGTGAGCGTGGTAGTGGTGGTGGTGGTGAGCGTGGTGGTGGTGAGCGTGGTGGTGGTGGTGAGCATGGTGGTGGTGGTGATGGTGAGCGTGGTGGTGAGCGTGATGGCGAGCGTGGTGGTGGTGGTTGTAGTGGTGGTGGTGGTGAGCGTGGTGGTGGTGGTGGTGGTAGTGATGGTGGTGATGGTGAGCATGGTGGTGGTGAGCGTGGTGGTGGTAGTGGTGGTGGTAGTGGTGAGCGTGGTGGTGAGTGTGGTGGTGGTGAGCGTGGTGGTGGTGAGCGTGGTGGTGGTGGTAGTGATGGTGGTGGTGGTGGTAGTGGTGGTGGTGAGCGTGGTGGTGGTGGTGGTGATGGTGAGCATGGTGGTGGTGGTGGTGATGGTGAGCGTGGTGGTAGTGGTAGTGGTGGTGGTGAGCGTGGTGGTAGTGATGGTGAGCGTGGTGGTGGTAGTAGTGGTGGTGGTGATGGTGAGCGTGGTGGTGGTAGTAGTAGTGGTGGTGGTGGTGAGCGTGGTGGTGGTGGTGAGCGTGGTGGTGGTGGTGATGGTGAGCGTGGTGGTGGTGGTGGTGATGGTGAGCGTGGTGGTGGTGGTAGTGGTGGTAGTGATGGTGAGCGTGGTGGTGGTAGTAGTGGTGGTAGTGGTGGTGAGCGTGGTGGTGGTGGTAGTGGTGATGGTGAGCGTGGTGGTTGTAGTGGTGGTGAGCGTGGTGGTGGTGGTAGTGGTGGTGATGGTGAGCGTGGTGGTGGTGGTGGTGAGCGAGTGTCACACACCCCGTGAAGCCCTGTAGCTGCACGGTTTCCCCGAGAAGCTCCAGGAACTG